TATAAAGTACAACTGCTCTATAACATTTTCTGTAATCTTTACAGGAAGGACCTCTGGTGGCGTAGTACCTAATGCATTTGACTGCTAACCAGAAGGTTGGCAGTTCAAACACACCAGCTACTCCGTGAAAGGAAGACTGGACAATCTCCTTCCGTAAAGATTTATCACCTCGGAAACCCAATGGGGGTCGCTATGAGTCAGAATCAACTCAATGGCAGTGGATTTTGGTAATCTTTATGGGAACCAGTTGCCAGGTCTCTAAACTCAGCCTCTTTAAAACTCAGCACACACACACACACACACACTGCCATTGAGTTAATTCTGATTCATAGCAACCCTATGACAGAGTAGAACTGCCCCATATGATTTTCAAGGCTGTAAATCTTATGAACGTAAACTGCCTCGTTTTTCTTCTGCGAAGTAGCTGGGGGATTTGAATCTCAGACTTTTCAGTTAGCAGCTGAGCTTTTAACCACTCTATCACCAAATCCTCCCAAAAACCATCATCAAGTCAGTTCTGACTCATAGCATCCCCGTTGGTTTTGAAGATGGTAAATCTTTATGGAAATAGATTGCTTCATCTTCCTTCTGTAGAGCAGCTGCTGGGTTTGAACCACCAAACATCAGGTTAGCAGTCAAATGCCTTAGGCACTGTTACCACCAGAGCTCCTTACTGCATCACCAGGGCTCCTCAGATATAAATATAAATACATCTACACACAAATATAAATATATATGTATATACACATATAAATCCAAAAAAAACCTCACTTCCGTGGAGTAGGATCTGACTCATAGTGACCCCTCCTTGGGTTTCTGAGGCAGTTATTACTATGAAAGTAGATTGCCCAACTTGCCTTCCGAGGAGTGGCTAGTGGGTCTGAACCACCAGCCTTCTGGTTAGTAGTCAAATGCCTTAGGCATTATGCCCCCAGAGCACTTTCACATACACATAAACTTTTATAATTAAAATGATACACACATATTCTCAAAAACTCAAATAGAAAAGATGAGTTTATAATGGGGGTAATAATGAAACCTAGTTAAAAAAACTAAAGATCTTAGCTCAAAGCCTCTCACAGACTAAGGAGTCAGTAAATGCTATTATAAATGAAGTCTGTGTTTTAAATTAATTTCATTTCCAGTCAAAGCAAATGGAAAAAAAAAAGTGCAGGACTTAGCCGATTTCAAATTAGGTTCTCATCCAGCCAATGTGTGGGGGTGGCCTAAAGAATTATGTTATATACAACCAATGGGAAATGTCCTTTTTTAAATCTCCTGCTATAATCTCCAAGCTTGCCTTTGTCAGGAACTGCCAGGTCCCCCTTAAGCCGAGTCACAGACAGACACAGCAGCTCCCAGCACGTTGGTTGGTGAGCTCAACGCCCCAGGCAGCCTACTCCTCTCAATCACTGAGCGAACCTCAAGCCCTACCAGACACCACACAGATGGTTTCTTGTGAAGAGCAGGACATTTTATTTTTCTTTAGTCTTGAGATGTCTAAATGTTATCCCAAACCAAATTTTGTAATGGAGCCCACATTTGGAATTTACTGTAAGCTCTTTCTCAAAGATGCTGAAATATATGTCAGAAGGAGAAGAAACACTACTATATTTTTCAGTATTTAAAAAAAATATTTTGAAATAATTTCAGACATAAAGATAATTTGCAAAAATAATACAAGGAATGGGAGAGAAAGCAGAGCAAAGACCATTTAAATGGGCCTCCATGTTCTGTTTTACCAAACTGTCACAGAACCTTCTATGCAACTGTTATGTGTGATTGTTTTATATATATATGTGATAAATAAAATAATACAATGAAAACATTGAGATTTCCAAGCAATACCTTTGTGAAAAGGGCCCAGATAAAGAAATGAGTCCTGGAATCAAAGGCAGGTTTTATGACTGATTAGTAGTAGTATCTTCTAGGACCTCTGGTGGCATAGAGCCTAAGGCATTTTGACTGCTAACCAGAAAGTTGGCGGGTCAAACCTACCAGCCACTCCATAGAAGGAAGACTGGGCAATCTACTTCCGTAAAGATTTACCACCTTGGAAACCCAAAGGGGGTTGCTGTGAGTCGGAATCAACTGGATAGCAGTGAGTTTGGTTTTGGTTAGTATCATATTCTATGTATTGATTTTAGTCTTTGTAAAGATAGAGCAGGAATAAAATGTGGTATCACGTGCTCTGGGAAAAAAATACAAAGAATTCCTACACTCTTTAACTAAAACCAAAAACTAAACTCACTGCCTTCGAGTGGATTCTGAGTCATAATGACCCCCTTTGTGTTTCTGAGGTGGTAAATCTTTATGGAAGTGGATTGCGTAGTCTTCCTTCCATGTAGTACCTGGTGGGTTTGAACCGCCAACCTTCTGGTTAGCAGTCAAATGCCTTAGGTACTACTCTACCAGAGTTCATTATAACAGACTACAGTACAGTGTAAACATAACTTTTATGTGCACCGGGAAATGAAAAAATGTATGTGACTCACTTTATTGCTATATTCACTTCTCTGTAGCAGTCTAGATTCCGCAAGTATTAACATTTTACCATGTTTACTTCCTTCTTTCTCTCATTGTTTTAAATCGATCAGTATTGTGTATGAGTTCAAAATATTTTCTTTACAACCAGTTCTTTTATGTATACTGAGGTGCCTCTACTGCCCCCCAGTTCACATTTACAACTCAGCATATGCTTAAATACATATACTCATTGCCCTCGAGTTGATTCTGAATCAGCGACCCTATAGGGCAGAGTAGAACTGATCATTAGGGTTTCCAAGGCTATACTCTTTATAGAAGCAGTGGCCTCATTTTTCTCTCACAGACTAGCTAACACACCCACACACACACACACACATACACACACGTATTTATAATTAATCAAAGGGATACACACATATGGTCAAAAAAGTCAAACAGAAAAAAATGTGCTATGGTGGGAATCCACAGTTCCAGTCTTGGCTCTGTTCCTCAGAGACATTATCTTTTAACCAACTCTTTGGTTTCTGAGGTGGTATCACTACAGAAGTAGATTGCCCAACCTTCCTTCCGAGGACTGGCTGGTAGGTTTGAACCACCAGCCTTCTGGTTAGCAGTTAAGTGCCTTAAGTATTACGCTACCAGAGCTCCTTCTGTTGTTGCATTTGCAGTGACAACCCCCATATCTCTAAATATGCCTCTTCTGCTATTTCTTACTGATCAATTTTGAACATTTAATATTGCCTTTCTGCTATGAAAGATAAGAATTCAGCCCCTTCCCCATAGCTGTATAATTATTCTTCGTTCTTCCACTGGTCACTTCACTATCTTCAATCAACATACTATAACTTCACTTTTGTCTCAGCCACCACAGCAAGTGAATCAACTTCCTGCTTTGTAAACAGAGGACATTAGCACTCTAATTCCTTATTTGTGTCTCTTCTAAAGTCCTCTTTACTTTTACATTGTCAAGATTTGTTACACTTTTATTCTGTTCTATAAATACCATTCAGATGTCTATAATTTGCCTGTGAGTTGACCTTGCAAGATGGAAAATGAGAGGAATTTACATTTCTATGGCTGTGTGACAATGAGTCACACATGATTCCTTCTCCACAGCCAGGTTCACGAGCACGTGCCTTTTGGTGGGCAGAACTCCCCATGTCAAATTGACTTTTGCTTTTATCTCCACCAAACCCCTTAATCAAATCTTCATGTTGTCCCAAGTTCTCTATTCTATCTGGTCCTCAGGGCCTCAGCACCCAGCTCTCCTGCCTTCAGCTTGCTCCCTCCTTGTCTGGCCTTGTGAGCATGCTGGAACCCCTGAAATACCAGAATGTGCTGCTCTGGTTCTCCCTAGAAAATCTGCTTAGTTTCTTTAGAGTAGAATCTTCCATTTGAATTAGTGGCCAAGAACGAAACAAAATCAGGAGATTTCTTATAAACTCTAGCTTTTTCTTTTGAAAAAAAGCAGACACTGGGAAACGCTGGTCTGGAAGTTCTGTGACAATGTGCTGGGGCTCTCCTCCCTTTACCTGCCCTCCCTGTCTCTGGGTATTGAAGTTCAACCCCTGAAACACAGATTTTCAATTACAGGCAGTTCCCCTTCCAAGTTAGACAACTCGTGCTAGCTCTTTAATGTGATGTAAATTTGCCCTCAGTTTGAAACAACTGAACTAACCTAACCGCTATATTTGCACCAAATCCAACACAATCACTTTCACTTCCTGCATGTGCAGCTTTTAAAACATTGAAGAAGACTGGAGCCTTCTCTTGAACTAAAGGCTAAAAAGGAATTCTATGCACCTGTTCCAATTTACCTACAAATTCCACTTAATGACTTAAAAATACAGGAACAGACATTGTTCAAACCCTGAGGACTGCCTGTCATCTCATCTCCAGCCCCATGTTTTTCACCTGCTCAGTCTGGAGCCCCTCCCTGTTCCAGAGGGCACACTAGGCCTGTCCTCAGCCAAAGCCCTTTCCGTATGTATCCTCCCTTTCACAATCTGTGGTCCATGGACCAGACAAGCCGAAGTGGCCTCACCTGGGAGCTTGTTAGAACTATGGAATCTCAGGCCACACTCCAAACCTAGCCCTACTGAATCACAATCTGGGTTTTAACAAGATCCCTGAAATAATGTGCCCATGAATGTTTGGGAAGCACTGGTCTGGGCTATAGCTTCCCTGCTCTGCTTCTTTGAACATCTTTTTTCTTGTCTTCCTAAATTTATCTGTCAATCATGGATGCCTCACCCCTCGCCCACCTTTCACTTCATCATTGGCTGTGATTATTTACTTTTCTTTCTATTATTTAGTAAGATCTCTAAAGAAGCAAAGGAAAGAAATTTGTATGGTAACTCAGCAAGTGCTTCCTAAGATTTTCAGACAAAGGTCTAGAAACCATAGAATAATAGGAATAGGAAATTTTGCCATGCCGTTTTTTATTTGCTTGTGTTTTGCAGCTATAGTTTCAATAAGAGCACAGTGTGAGAGGGGATGATAGATGTTTATGATTATGACGGAGTAATTCCTCTTGCAGGAGTCTCCTGATGGCACATGGAAAATTCAGAGATGCTGCTCCACATAGGAGGAACGACCACCATTCTGCCGTAACTACCAGTGTTAAAAAACAGCAAATTGGGAATGACAATAAAGACAAAGGGAATGCAACAGCTCAGCCGAGACACGCGAAACCAAGTTTCTATATTGTTTGAGTGTATTTTTATTTTTAGCATCACAACTGCTACTGTACATTTGTCCCAGCTAGTCATCCAAGTATTTGTGGAAATTAACTTCAATGTTATGAATGTTTCACAGACTGATGAACCAAAGCTGATGAGAAAACAAACTGGTTCTAATCTTTTCACCATTTTGGAGCTCTGAGTTTTATCTGGCTGAAAACATTTTCAATCAGAAATTGTATCATTCAAATCACACTCATTAAGGGTAGGTTGCCCAGCTGATAACTGTAATTGATGTACACCCATAAAAAGTTGAACTGGGGAAAAAAAAAAAGTGGCATTTACAACAAAAAGAGTAGCTGCTGTGGCTGCTTATGTACAATCAAACACCTCATGGGATTTGATCCTTTGGTTTGGAAGTTTAGGGTCACGGTTTGATGGGACAGCCCAGTTAATTGGTCTAATAAACATGTTTAGTGCTTCTGTTCTACCTCCTAGTTCACTGTGTAGTGCCTAGGATCTTAAAATCTAACAAGTGGCCATATAAAGCACCACAATTGGTCTCTGTTCACCTGGAGCAAATGAAAGGAGTCAGGAATAGGAGGGCAATATGGAGCTCTGGTAGCGTAGTGGCTAAGGCACTTGACTGCTAACCAGAAGGCTGGCGGTTCAAACCCACCAGCCACTCCTC